CTTTAAATATGAAAACATACTTACAGGCTGTGAGTCAGAACAGCCGGCATTGTAGTCTGCTCTACCAGGATCAGGAAACAGTCCTCTGTAAAATGCGCTGCACACATCTGAATATTTGGTTTGAACTGTTCTGGAACAGTGTTGTAAATACAACTTAACCACTGATTTCTAGTTGTGTCCTCTTTTGAAAGGCCAAACAAAGTATTTTTGCTTTCGCAACAAAACACACAGCGTCTCCATGACACAGCGGCAGCAGCAACAACAATACTACAGCAAAAATCAAAGTACACCTTCTTTCTTTGTGTGAACATTTGGGCGGTGTTATGCAAATCTTCCCACACAGTGACGTAGACGTGGGGGTGTGTTTGAACGAGGCGTTTTAGAAGGGCATGGACGAGTCTTAACTTTGATAAAGAATATCTCTTTGGTTTTGAGACTTTAGTCTTTGCAACTTTAGGGATCTTATCTATTCACAAACAGCTTGTAACACCAAAGAGAAAAGAAAACTTGAAATCGCATCATATGACCCCTTTAACAGACAGCAAAATCTAAGAATGTGAACAACTCGATGTAGAATCTCACTGCTGTCTTGTAAATGCAAAAACAGAATCTTTTTATTAATAAAACTGCATTTTAAGAAGGAATAAACAATAACAGAGAAATAACTGAAATGGAACCTTTGCTGCTCCTGCATGATGTGCAACTGCTCTAATTTGGTCTTATGCTCCGCCTCCATGCGATTCATCATTTCCCTGATCACAGCCATGAAAGAGGTAAACTGAAACACAGAGACACAAAACAGTTTTAAAATGTGTGAACAGAATCTATACAACTGAGCTGAAGTGACACTGAATCAAGTTCATATTCTGTGGATGAACAAGAACAGTTTATGTGTAGAGAGAATGTGTGTTCTCACCTGGCTAAGGTTAAGGTTGTTATCAATACTAAGTGAGACCAGATGAGGTAAACTCTTTCCAGCCAGGTGCTCTTTTGGGATGCCCAGTTTCTTATGGGTGAAAGTGCACTTGTAGATGCCTAAAAATATTTCAAATAAGGAATAAACAAGAACACTGACAAAGACGTTGTAAGTACTACTATATAATGATGATTTTATGTTATTTTGAGCCAAAATTAATTACCCAGAATGCCCATGAGCACAGCTGGTTCCCTGGATGGAATTTGTTGCAGGAATGGTAGAATTTCATCAATGACGAACCATTTATCCAGGTATTCCAGAATCTTGCCTAGGCACACCAAAGAGTTCACCCTCACCTGAAAAAGGAGAAAGTAATCTTCTTTAGAAAAACAAACCAAATAACTACTCTTCCAAACTGATCAATGATATTCACTTATGTTACTGAAAAAATAAGCATAAGGACACAAACCGCTAGTGAGGATGTCTGTAAACAAGCAGATTTGATACGAGGAATAAGTGCATTCTTCATGGATGGGTACTCAATTAGATTGGCAAACGTGGGAATGATATTTAGACAAAGTTCCTGTTTAGAAAAAGAACAAAAACAGTTGTTATTTGGGATGCACGTTATTGGATTTTTGCCGATATTTTTCAACTCATTTTGGCCGATAGCTGATGCCGATACTGATATATTTCCTTTTGTTTGGAAACAACACCAAGTCTCTCCTGTGCAGAAATTATAAGTAAATTCTTTTTAATTTTGGCTAGTTTTTAACAAGAGCTTATTTATAAGAATTAAATAAACAATAATGAAGTTCTTTTATACTGACAGTACACTGAACATTTGAAAAGAACTATAAGTAAGCTATATTCAAATGCTGCATTTTTTTTTTCAGAAAGATGCAGTGGTAACCTTAACATTTTATTTTAAGATCTAACATTTGTAAATGGTCTAAAGCAAAAGAGTTGTACAAATTCTGAAAATCTTTTAGAGCTCATAATTTATTTAAAAAAATACAACATATTACACATTAATGAATGTGTATATAAAATTATTTAATTTAAGTGTCATGTTTGTGATTTTTTTTTTCATGTAAGCTATAGATTCTGACCTTTAAATCAAAACACACTCATGATTTTATGGCATCAATTACTGCTTTATTTTTATTTAGAAACACAGTCTAAATATTATTTGTGTATTTTGCTTTCATTTTATTAGAAGTAGGCCAACAGCGCCCCCTGCGGAATTAAAACTCCTTATCGGCCGATAATAAAACTTATTATCGGCCATTCCGATATTGGTCAGATAATATCGTGCATCCCTAGTTGTTATACTTTAAAATGTTGAAATACCCAAATGTCTGAAATAAATGATTCAGCTACTGAGGCGTCAAAATACATTGATGCCTTAAAATACATCAATCGGACAATTAACAGTTATTGAAGATTATCAATTAAAATACTAATAAAACAACTTGATAAGCAAATACATTTTTCTCATCCAAACAAGTTTATGGTGTGGTCACCTGTATTTGAATAGAGGGGGCTTCCACCGCTCTGTACACCATGGGCAGAACGCTGTTCTTGATGTCTTCAGGAGGCGTTTTGGTCAAAAGAAGGTCCATCTTTTGTAGAAATATCAGCAAAATCTGGATACATGAAAGAGAATTAAGGAACTAAGATTTCTAAGAGCCAACAAATGAACACGTAGAACTAAAAACAAAACTAAGATAGCAAAACAAACCACAAAAAAAAAATTTAAAAATAAAAGAAAACAACTCTAAACAAAAAATAAAACAACTCTCCATGTTAGGCAGGCCCAAACACTTTCTGTTTTTAAATCTAATCTCAAAACTTTTAACACCGTACGAGAGCAGGTTTTTATGATTGTGTTGGTCTTATGTTTGTTTTCATGTGTCTATTGTTTTAAATTGAGTATGCTTGTACAGCACTTTGGTAAACACTTGTTGTTTTTAAAAGTGCTTTATAAATAAACTTTGAAGAAAAAAAATAAAACAATGTTAAACAAAACAAAGCTAAACAAAACAAAAAACAACAACAACCAAACATAATCATGAAAACCACATTAAAAGATCAGTGCAAACGGTAGAAACAAACAAGTGCAACCAATATACTATAAATAAAAATATAAACTTATTATAATATAAATAGTGCTGTCAAACGATTAATTGCAATTATATTTATATTATCAATTTATTTAACAATTTATATTATCATAAGTCCAAAATAAAAGTTTTTGTTTACATAATATGTGAGTGTACTGTGTATATTTATTATGTATATATAAATACACACATATGCATGTATATATTTCAGAAAAATATTTTATGTTTATATATTAAATAGATTTATGTATCATTTAAATTATATTAATATAAATATATACATGTAAATATTTTCAAAATATATACTGCGTGTGTGTATTTTATATATACATAATAAATATACACAGTACACATACATATATTATGTAAACAAAAACTTTTATTTTGGATGTGATTAATCGCGATTTACTGTTAGACAGCACTAAATATAAATATTACGATGAAATAAACTACCACAAAGACAAAAGTTCAAACCTCACTCACCATGTTGCTAGCCTGATAGCATGAAAGAGAAAACAAATTACAAATTTGAACCTTATGGATTACACAGGCATGTGGCAGCCACTGTAAGTCCACACCAAGTGCGGACAGGGCCAGAAAGGTTAAGTGTCAGCTTAGTACTCTATTATGTCAGCTAGTATGTGGAGCGGAGGCGGAATGTGTTGCATTAGGTTGGATTAATAACATGGGTTAATTTTACTGGTGCAGAATGCTTTGAGTGGGATGGGGAATGCATCAGTAGTATGTGTGTGTACCTGTACTGGCTCCTGCTGTTTGAAAACTGGGGTGAGGTCTGGGAGAACGAGGCGGACGTATTCCTCCTTTGTGCACTCCTCAGCGATGAGCAGCACATTTGGAAGAATGAACGGAACCATGTCAGGATTCACAAACTCAGACGTGAGCGCCGGGAGGATTCTGTATACTACCACTCTCTGAGGAGAGAAAACAACAGGCAATTAACTTAATGCCATAAAATACATGAACAAAAACATCACAGAACTTTGGACTCTGACATTTAAATTTATTTCAGGCATACACCTCAAATATTGACACACATTTGTTTTAAGGTCCAATTATCACTATTTAACAAACCATAAACTACGACATTTGCCTCAATAAACTCCTCATTTGCTGCTTATTATTAGTTAGTAAGGTAGTTGTTAAGTTTAGGTATTAGGTAGGATTAGGCATGTAGAATATGCTCATGCAGAATATGTGCTTTATAAGTACTAATAAACAGCCAATATGTTAATAATATGCATGCTAATAAGCAACTAGTTAATAATGAGAATTGGTTCCTAAAGTGTTACCAGATATATTATTATATAAATATTCAAATATATATAAAATACAAAAACGACTTTTCACAATCCAATCATAATATTGCTAGTTTCACTATTTAAATACACTGCAAATTTTAAAAAAAGTGTTCCTTTTCAATTCCATTTTCGAGCTGAATTTCTTCAAATATTGCAAATGTTTGTTCTTGCCTTGGGCAACTTGGGCAGAACTTTGGGGAGACTTTTGTAGAACTGAGACTTCTGTAAGTTGTCCCGTTGGAAAAGCGAGTCAAAGTACTGAAGGGTCATCGCTCCAACATCATCGAAGAAGGGAATCTGTGCACACACATACACTGAAAAGTCAGAATTTCACTCTCATAGTCTTAAACCATAATGTTAACATCATGTATGGTAATTCTCTTTCAGGACAGATACTTCAAAGAAAGATGTTTTTAAAAAAAAAGTAGAAGAAAATCGGCAAAGACAGTAAGATCTGACCTTTGTCATCTGATCTGCATCTGGACGCACGTTTGAGGTGAGGCTGAGCAACATCTTCACATGTTCCCTGACCTCCTCTGGGATCTGACTCAATAATCCTGGACTCAGATGGCTCAGCTACACATTAGAATGAGGAACAGAATGAGATTCACATATTTAAGGGTTATCGCAATACTATAATTATGTTTTAGGGCACGATAACTAGCAAGAGCTGAATATTGTGGCAGTATACCCAAATATATTATTGATATTTTAATTATTATATTGGTATTTACCAATTAATTGTTGATAAATTCATTATTTAATTATTAATACTATTAATTTTTAACACTATATAATATTTGTAATACATTATATATAAAATGTTATGGCATTTATTCAGCAATTCTTCTCCCCGAGTTACCGTCTTCTGCCATTTTGGAGAGTACACCAGAACGTAATCAGCGTTGTTTATGTTCAGTAGCGCGCGCATGTTGAACGAAAACAATGTGGATTACGTTGATTAAGTTCTGGAGTACTCGCCAAAATGGCGGAAGACGGTAACTCGGGGAGAAGAATTGCTGAATAAATTATGTTATTGTTTTCTTTGTGCACAAAAAGCATTCTCTTAGCTAGGCCTGGGCGATAAAACGGTATCGATACTTATCGACGGTACACCTTCTTCGATAACGATAGAAAAAATGTTCGATAAAGCGCACGATATAGGCACGTGCTATGAGTGACGCAGACAGCACACACAAACACGAACACATGCTGAAATGAGTGCTGTGCCTGCCTGTGATGAGGAGATTGTGAATAAAAAAAAAAAAGAATATTAGTCGAATTTAAAATAAACATTTGCATTTGAATGTTAGGTGTGCGTCAGGGAGTGTCATTAGTGGAGCGCGAGATGCGGTGATGATGATGTAAGTGACGTTGTTGCATTTGAATGTTTTATAAGTCTAGCCCACGAGACGCGACGCTGCTGCGTTATTCATTCAAAATGTTAGAGAAATATAGTAGCTCAATGCGGAGAAGATCTTGATTAGGTTAAAACCGAAACTAAGCCATTCACACAGAACGCATATTCAGCGCATTTTTTAGACGGACAAATATGACTGCTGTACTCGCGTCTCACACAAGAGATGTATAGAAAGCCATACAAAGTAAAAACTTTTAGAAAACGCATCACGAATTGGTGGAGGTTTATTCCGTTTCACTGCGTCTCATATGTTTTTAAAGGCAATCTGCGTGATGGGCGATTCGGCTCTTTGTATTAAACAATGCATAAATACATGATGCTGTTTTGTTCATAATTGTTTATGCAATTTACAAAATTATGTTTGATTTATATGAGTTAATTTAGACGTAATGCATGTTTTTCTTTTTATAGACAGTTATTTCCTTTGCGTTGGCAATTTAATGCGCTGCATTATTTTGCTCATTGCATCCTCCTGTGGCTTCGGGAGACAAGCCAAAAGTTTCCTTCAGACCTATTTAATCTGCATATAAAACATTAGAAATTAGATATGTTTAATTTTTATTTTGTGTTTGACTGCTAAAAGAAAAAATATTTGTTTTTTGTCTCAAATTGGGTTAATTTAAAAATACAGTGGTTAAATTTAAAAGTTTTTTTCTATTGCTCTTTGTTTTAAAAAAAGGTTAGAAAAAATGTCAATAATTATCGATACCGAACGATATGAAACATTATATCATTGATACTTTTTTTAGCTATATCGTCCAGCCCTACTCTTAGCTTTGTAAAATTACGGTTGAACCCCTGATGTCACATGGATTATTTTACCGATGTCCTTGCTACGTTTCTGTGCGTTGATCGTGGTAATATCCTTGCTGTCTATGGGAGTGTCAGAGAGCTCTTGGAATGCATCAAAAATATCTTAATTTGTGTTATGAAGATAAACGAAGGTCTTGCGGGTTTGGAACAACATGAGGGTGAGTAATTAATGACAGCATTTTCATTTTTGGGTGAACAAACCCTTTAAGGCTAGGGTACCACATTACTACTATAGCACTAGTTTACAGTGAAACACTGTTTTTCAAACAAAATGCGAAGGTAATGTGCTTTAAAACAGGAAAACATTGCATTAAAATTGCTGTGTGTGGACTCTTCACCTGGTCCAGTTGTCGGCTGAAGCTCTTGAATATGTCCTGCTTGTTGACCTGAAAGACAGGCTTGCCTTCATTAAACACGGCGTGGATCAATACGCCCAGTGAGTACATATCAGAGGCTGCGTCACAGCTGACGGACAGGATGTACTCAGGAGCCACATATTCAGGGTTCGCGAGGCAGAGAGGCGGCAGATTGGGGTCCCACTCTTTGCAAACATACTTGGGCTAAAAGGCAGAAATACATAACTATGTTAAGAGACAGCAGACAACAGAGAGAGCCAAGAATGTTCTGATTGCTTTGTTTCTGTTCTCTAGGACTTTAGAGACAATAATGCCTGCTTCTAACCTCAGCGTCAGATGGGTTACTAGAGGAGATACTGAAGTCAAAACCCATGATCTTCCAGGCTCCGCTCTTATTCAAGATGATGTTCTCTGCACACAAGTTACCATGAACCATTTTAACCCCACTGTGGAGGAACGACAAACCCTCTGAGACCTGAGAGAGAAAACGGAGAGAGAGACAAAGAGAGAGATATTTCATTAGAACAAAACTAAAACAAAAAGGCAGTACTTGTTGCACTGCCTTTAAAAAGGTTATTTTGTAAAATAATATTTTTTTACATTTAATAGACATTATTTTAATTGTACTATTTTTATAAGTTTATTAAATAATGTAACTTTTTTAATAATAATTTTTAGTATTTAAATTATTTTGATTACTGTATTATATAATAAAACATGTTAAACATCTGGATGCATTATCCTGAATTTTTTTTGGTCCTATATAAAATAATGTGGAAAAAGATTTGCAGAAAAAAAAAAAAAAAAAAAAAAAAAAAAAAGATTTGCAAATAAATAATGAAGAAAAAACCCTTCGGTTTTATATTTTTCAAAAAAGCAACCATTTAATATAATAATAATATAAGAAATAAAATAAAATGTATTTGTTAAATTGCATTATATGCTATACTATTAGGTTAAAATGTGTGTGAGCTGTAGTTTCAGATTTTTTCCTTGTCACTTTGAGATGACATATCACTTTTACACGGAGGCTCTACTAACTCAAAAGAAAAAAAGTACCTCTTTTTAGCTGTATAAGAAAGGCCTCACCTGCAGTAAGCCATATTTGGTCTCAACGTCGTAGAGTTTGTATTCTTTGATGTCTGTGGGAACAGGACTAGGGAGGTTGTCCCACTGGCCGAGCACATTCGCTAGACTGGCAAACACAGGCTCTGTGCAGAACGCCAGACAGTCTCTAAAGATAAAGAGGCAAAGACATCCAGTGAGAACAGTAATGACAGACAGATAAAAGCACAGAAAGTAGGAACTGGTTGTGTTTGTGACCTTGGAGACATTTCTGAGCCACATTTCAAATATACATAGTCGTTTTCTCTGTATATTTCCAGTGTTTGTGTAAAAGACTGATTGTCTGTTTCAAAAAATAGTGAGCTGCCCACCTAGGCAACATTTTTTTTATTTCCCATCATAGACATGTATCCAGTTATTAATGCAATTAAGATACTTAATTTTGACCAAAATCTAAAGCAGCATCACATGCATACTTACTAAATAAACCAATCCAAGAATGCACTACAATGAAATCTGTCATGCAAGATGGTTTGATGCAGCATGGAAGTGAAGGAAAATTTGATTTTAAAAATATTTTATGCAGTACAAAAACTTTACATTTTAGAGTATCAAGAATTTATCATTCATCAGCTGGAGGAAAAGCATTCTGAAAAAGTGCTTCAAATTATATTGTCCTTCTGTGTCATTATCGTTATAGCTGTAAACTTTGCTAATCTAATAGAATTAGAACGATAATTAAAAATGTATAGTTATTACTATAGTATGTGAACACGGATTATAATAGATTCTATTTGCTTTTGATGCAAGATGTTTTTTTATCCTAACCAGGCATGATAGCGAAGTATGACTACCAACACAGAATTATGGTATATAATATATAGGATAAATGGTTTCTATTTCCTCTACGTTGCAGCTGACAGCAAACATTTAAGTTTACTGTAAAGAAAACATACTATTCTAAAATGTTTCTATTTTATATCAAATAAATATCCAAGATTAAGAGAAGTGCTTAAATTAAGAGAAGTACTTAAATGTGTGACATGAAAATGCATCCAAAAATAAATAAATAAATAAATTCATTAGAGTTTGGGTGTCAACGGTGGCTATTTTTCATATGGAGTCTAAAGAAAATCTCACAGGAACCTCCATTTTTGTGATATCAACTTCAAATTCGGAACATAACTTACTTAGCCATATATTTTTTTTTTTGTGATATCAACTTCAAATTCAGAACATAACTTAGTTAGCCATATATATATATTTTTGTGATATCAACTTCAAATTTGGAACATACTTATGTTCCAAATTTGAAGTTGATATCACAAAAATTGAGGTTCCTTGTGAGATTTTGTTTAGACTCCATATGAAAAATAGCCACCGTTGACACCCAAACTTTAATGAATTTATTTATTTTTGGATGCATTTTCATGTCACAAATTTAAGCACTTCTGTCACAATATTATGTAGTAATTAATCGTGTGAAAGCTCAAACTTGAGACACAAACCTTTCCAACAATATATATTGTCATAATTACAAAAAGGTTTGATTATAAAATACTGTATCAAATTTTGTAATATGACACCTGACACCACCCACTAGGGGGAGGAGCCCGCTAAAAGAATTTAAAGTACCATTTCAATACAGATTTCAAAACACTTTTCAGAGGATGAATTTTAAGCTTTTGAATGATATGTAATTTATGTGACTACTAAAATATGCAATAGCATGATTACTAAAATATGTGATAGAGAAAAAAAGCATTAATAGTTAAAAAAGGTCAATAAGGACACAAGTACGTCCAACTTTGTGAACTCTACATCAACAAACAAGATGATTTCATGACAAGGATTTTATTAATTGTATTTTTTTAACAATTTAAACTACTTAATTTTATTCATTTGATTATGTACTTATCTATTTCATTGCACGTGTATGTGTTTTGTAACTGGTTTGGCTGTGTCTTGTAGCTTTGTCGCGTCTGGTGTGAACAGACAAATTGCTTGTCCTGGAATCTTATTGCATCGTGTTTAGTGAAGATAACATGTAGACTGTAGACAGCAAGACTAGATTCTGGAATGGAGCTTAAGTCTCACATCTCCTAAGAGATCCATGTATTATTCAGGAGAGATTTTCCACAGACGAACTGCTGCTTTTGATCTCATGCATCCACACAGACACATATTGATTGTAGCAGCACAGGAGCCAAATCTTAAATAAAGAAAAAGCTCTGAACTCTTTTACCGAGAGTAGATTCTTTGCTTCTGAAGCTTCATATCAGTTTTATTCCATAAATCAAAGCAAAAATAAATCAAAGTGGATAAAAAATGAAGTGCAGTGATGATAACACTGGCTTTGTTCAAAAAGTAATGAGCTGACCTAGAAAAAAATTTTTGGGCATCATATGCATATTCATCTAAGCTGGGCAAAATGCTGTCCATGTAGACAGCTCACTAGGTTTTAAAACACAGTCTGTGTCACAGCAAGTTGTCACCTGGACTCCTCCAGTGGGTGCTGAACCGTGAGGAGGCGCGGATGTCGTAATCGCGTCAGTTGTTGAACTCCTTTCTTCAGTGAATCAATGATCTGATCCTTCTCAAACTTCTGATAGCGATCAATGATCTTCTTATCGAACACAAAGACTGCCACTTCCTGGGGGAAACAGAAAGCAAATTTGTAGCAGTGTCAATAGATAACGGCTGAACACACACACACACACACACACACAAAAATAAAACAAAATAAAATACATACATAAATTCAAACTAAATAAAATAAAATACATACATTCTAACAAAGAACCTAAATGAAATTAAATCAAAACTGTATTTATTAATCAATTCCAACAAATAATTCATAAAATGTACATTTATATTTATTTTGCAAACAAATTCATGAAATATTTAAATTTATATTTATTTTGAAATAATATCGGTTTATCTGTACATTCAACATTAATTTATAGAAATATTTAGATTTACATTTCATTTGCAAAACTTATTTAGAAATATTTAAATTTATATTTATTTTGAAATAATATCGGTTTATCTGTACATTCAACATTAATTTATAGAAATATTTAGATTTACATTTCATTTGCAAAACTTATTTAGAAATATTTAAATTTATATTTATTTTGAAATAATATCGGTTTATCTGTATATTCAACATTAATTTATAAAAAATATTTCGATTTATATTTAATTTGCAAAACTATCTGTACATCTGCAAATTCAACAAATAATATATAGAAAAAGATTTACATTCATATTAATTTTGCAATAATATCTGTACATTCGACAAAAGTAGAATTTTTCACTTTGCAAAAATATCTGTACATATGTACATTCAACATATAATTACACATTACATTTATTTATTAAAAACTCAACCCATTCTAAATGACGCTTCCAAGACTACCACAAATCATTTACAATTTCAAACAAAATCTGTATTAGCCATCTAAACTATTTTATTTTGATGGCTACGAATTCATTTAAAAACACATGTACGTGATCAACAAACGCAAGATTGTGGCAATGCGAGGAAGCAAGAACTGCCCTGATACAGCAAGTGAACATTCTGTAAAGTCATGACAATTACATCATTCAAAAAACTGTGCTGTGCATTTTCTAGGTTAAATACTTCCTCTTTCACTGCAAACAACTTACCAACATCAAACGTGATCATGTCATATTATATGTGATACTGTATACATGAAAAAGACTAACAGAAGTGACTGTAATAAATAACCCACACACCTGTTTGGTGGATTTTTTGGTGCCGTTGTAGATCCTCCAGCTCATTCCTGGACCCCCGCTGGCGATATGTCGGCCCACCTCGAACTCCCGCGTGACAGGGTTGCCCATGACAGCACTGGTCACATCAGCTGTCACCTTGGTGACGGTGCTCTTTAGTTTATTGAGCATGGACTCCATGGTTCTACGGGCTGTCAACCTGCAACAGGAAGTAGAAACAGGACATAGGCTTTAAGAGTTATTTCATCATGTTGTCACGCTTCCTGTAGGACAAAGACAGCGAATTTGATGAGTTTAGGGTTTTTGTTATTAACTAAAAATACAAATATATATATAAAAAAAAATTGCTAATTGAAATAAAGCTGAAATAAAATTAAATAGAATATAGCATATACATAACATAACATAACATAACATATGTGACCCTGGACCACAAAACCAGTCATAAGGGTAAATTTTTCGAAATTGAGATAAATAAATAATTTTTCCATTGATGTAAGGATAGGACAATATTTGGTCGAGATACAACTATTTGAAAATCTGGAATCTGAGAGTGCAAAAAAAATCTAAATATTGAGAAAATCACCTTTAAATTTGTCCAAATTAAGTTCTTAGCAATGCATATTACTACTAATAAATTAAGTTTTATGGCTGCAATATAACAGAGTGAAAATTTTAAGGGGGTCTGAATACTTTCCGTACCCACTGTATATATATTAGAAATGTAAATTCACTGCAGTATTTCCAATTAGTTTAGATTGAAGCACTAAAACTACTAATGGGAAATACATAAACTAATAATGGGAAATAAATAAAATTAAATACATATTAAATAAATAAATTACTAAACTTTTTTCAAATTAAAATGAAGTATGACAATAAAAGCTAATTCAAAACATTAATAAAAATGATTATAATAATGTCAATCGTACTAAAATAACACTGGATGAGTTTTATACCTAGTTTGACAGTTCAGGATTTGTTCAAATCACAAAAATGTCTGTACAAAACAAAGGGATGCACATTTGAGCCCACTGAATTTCATACCATGTACAAACCAAACTGAAACTTTTTTCAATAACATCTATTTTTGTGCTCCACAGAAGAAAGAACTGCATACAGCTTTGTAACAAGTGAATAATTTTGGGGTGAACTGGCTCTTAACAAATTAAATATCAATCCATCAACAAAGAGAACTGTGTTGAATTTTTTACAAACCGCTGAATTGTCTTGTCTTAAACTTGACGAATTTAATTATACCGATGAGTACACTGCTAAGACATTTAAAAGTTAAGCGTCAACCACGCCTACCTAAAACGGCTCGTTCTAACACGCCCCCACATGTCTACGTCACGATGTGGGAAGATTTGCATAACGCCGCCCAAATGTTCACGCAAAGAAAGGCGGCGTAATTTTTATTCTCGCTGTAGTATTGTTGTTGCTGCCGCCATGTCGTGAAGACGTTGTGTTTTCGTTGTGAAAGCGAAACTACTATGTTTGGGCTTCCAAAAGAGGACGATATCCGCTTCGTCATGCCTGGAGGAATCACGGCTTTGAGAGTCAACAAAACATACACAAACAAAACCAAATTAAACCCTGCAGCTCGTGACGATACATTGATGTGTAAAGACACGAAACGATCGGTCTGTGCTAGAAACTGAACAGTATTTATATAATTTTTTACCTCTGATTTTCACCGCAATGTCCGAACTGTCTGTCCTCAGCGCGTTCAACAGCTGGCGCATGACATGTCTTCTTCTTCTTGCCTTACGGTGGATCACAGACTTATAAATGCATTACCGCCACCTATCTCTCAAGTGGACCATTGACACTTTATCTACAATCTCAATTAGGAGTGTCAATGGTCCACTTGAGAGATAGGTGTCGGCTGTTGAACGCGCTCAGGACACGCTCAGGACAGTTCGGACATTGCGGTGAAAATCAGACGTAAAAAACTATATAAATACTGTTCAGTTTCTTGCACAGACTGATTGTTTTGTATCTTTACACATCAATGTATCGTCACGAGCCGCAGGGTTTAATTTAGTTTTGTTTGTGTACAACGGTTTGAGTTCAAAATCTTCGTTTGTGTTCTACTGAAGAAACAAAGTCACCTACATCTTGGATGCCCTGGGGTAAGCAGATAAACAACAAATTTTCATTTTTGGGTGAACTATCCCTTTAATTTGGCTCTGGATTTAGCTGGCTGGATTTTAAGCAGAAAACACACACACACTCACACTCATGCACACAGACACAAAATAGATTAGTACCATAAAAAATGTCAAATGTAAAAATTAACCCTGACCAATTTGTAATAAATAATAATACTAATAAATCAACATCTATTATTATTTACTTATTATTATTGGTTAATAATAATAATAATTGTTTACCATGATGTTAAACGAACTAAAAAAAAAGACGAATAAAACTTTGAAAACGTAACAATAATAATAATTGAAAAAAGAAAATGAAAGCTCTTGTCTAAACACATCAATGATTACACTTTAAGATGTCTTTGTTACAGTGTAATTACTTGAATTAATACAGAGTAATATTAATTAACGTACTTATTCTAAGGTTAGTATTAATGGCTTGTAATTATGCATAATACACTGTAATTACTATAGAAAGTACTCTGTCAAATGGTAGGAAGTACTATTAGATTATGATCGTTAACTAAAACCATAAAAACGGCATTATAATATTAAAATAATTACGATAGAAAGTTTTTGTTCACAATGAATAAATTATAAAATTCAAAAATTGTAAATAATTCAAAATAAAACAAAACGGTAACACTTTACAATAAGGTTCCATTAGTTAGTGTTAGTTCCAACATATTCTGTTACACCAAATACACAAAATAATGATCTTTAAAAAAAAGCATCATATGACCCCTTTAACAAGCACAACTTTTAATTTGAATAATTCATTAGTAAATGTTGCAATTAACATGAACTAAGATTAATAAATGCTGTAGAAGTATTGTTCATTCTTAGCTCATGTTAAAGTAGTTAACTAATGAAACTTATTGTAAAGTGTTACCCACAAAAATATAACAGTAAACCAATTATACTAAAATACCACTGACTAAAAGAAGAAATTAGGCAACTACTACAGAATTACCACATTTAATCATAAATTAGTTAGACTGAACTTAAACCAGGACATCATAAAAGGCTGAATCATTTTGAATATTAGTAATTTTATTGATATAATTATATATTATCATTATATATCATATACTAACATTATATTTTTTTTTATTATTGAGATCATTATTATTCATTTCTGTGTTTGTCAGACGGAAATCACAGCGCCGTCATAAGGAAAAGTGTGACTTATTTAACATATTTTATGAATGAGCACCTGACAGATTGAGATTCAGTGAAACAAGTTAACTCTACTCATTACTGACGGAATAAACTTAACTGAAACCAAATAAGAAAACGTAGCTTGAATTATATATGATGCCCAAAATGCTGTCAGTAGGTTTGGAGACACAGCCAGAGACGTTTAACTATCAATGTAAATATCACTTGTGTTTCTCAAGGCAACAAAACCTCAAAGTGCTATCTATGAGAAATGAACTGAAACGGAGACATATTATTACCTTCACAGTGCGAATATATAATAAAACACGACATAAGCTGAGCTAACAGGCTAAAGCTAATGGAGTGAAGCGTCACAACACAGAACTGATCAATAACCGCGGAATAGAGTTTCAGAATAAATATCCAGCTCATAAACACAGAGACTTCAGTCTTACCTTTACACTAGAGGCGCTGACAGTGAGACTGAGTGATTAAAAGCAGGATTTAGACGGTAACAAAACCGTCAGCAGTGCTGGTGGCTAACAGCCTCCATGACACTTCATCAAAACACCCGAGAGATTCCGCTTCAGCAGCTAACCTTACTGAATGAGCGCTGATAAAAGTCCTGATTTTCAAAATATTAGCTATGGACTGACTCGCTTTTAACTATCATCTTTTGCTGATGTTTATTTTATTTCATTTTGAGACCCTAATACCGTGTCTTAATAATAATAAAGCTATTATTTGCCCTTCAAAACCTTATATTCATCTTGCCTAATGAAACCCCACTGGATATCGTTCAAACCTGATCACTTTGTATATTTCAGAAACATTAACTCAGTCCTGGAGGGCCACTGTCCTGCAGAGTTTAGCTCCAACTTGCCTCAAAACATCTGCCTGGAAGTTTTTAGTACGCTAGTAAGATCTTGATTAGCTTGTTCAGGTGTTTAATTGGGGTTGAAGCTAAACTCTGCAGGACACTGGCCCTCCAGGAGCAGGCCTGGACACCCCTGTATAAAGCATTTTTTTTTTTTTTTAGTAAATAAGAGTCAGAATGAGAATTTGAATGCATTTTAATGAGTTTAAAATATCAGAAAATTAAAGTGCATCTAAAAAAATCTATATAATGCAATTACAATAATTTGTAAGTAATAATCAGTACCAGTATGCAATTCACTTTGTTCAATTACTTATTAATAAATACCATCAATATGAAAAACCCACAATTAATCCAGTGCATTTATTATTTGGGTTGGAAATCGAAAATCAATTCCAATTCCAGAATCAGACACTTGTTGTAAAATAAAAAATTCAATTCTGCCTATCAATCTTTTTTTTAGGTGGCAAAAAGGGGCTGTTTAAAATGTATTTGTCTTCGAATCATTCATTCAAGAGATTCATTCAAAAACACTGATTCATCCATGAAACAAGTAAATCTTGAGTGAGTCATTGAATCATTTCATTTATAAATTCCATGAGATTTCGTTTAGTTGCCTAATGTTTTTTTTTCTTCAGAATTGTGAGAAAACCACATCCATTAAAAAAATAAATAAAAATGTATGTAGCCGGCTGATTTTTGTTCAAGGTATTCAGAAGCAATTAAATGTTTTGTAAAGAGACACAGAATAAATATGTTTGATATCCTCTATTTTTTTTTACCACATTGGAATCGAAACTGAGGGTGCGTTCAAGTCATGTCAGATAGATCGTATTTACGAGTTGAACGCACATGGACGTCACCACAAAGTCGTTATTACGAGTGGGAAACTCGAAATTTTCTTTAAGCCCCGAGTTTCCGAGTTGGGGGCGTGTCAATGAGAAACATGGCGGAATCGATGGATGCAACGTCTGTAGTTGACGGTAAATTTTTGTTTAAATTTAGTTTAGTTGTCCTATAAACTTAAATTGGTCATGTTCTTGTTACGCAGCTAGTTAATGAAATCCAAGTAAAAAAAAATGCTATCATTTTTGCACCTATAGGTGAAAATGTTTTTGATTTGCCATGTTGCATGTTGCATTTAGCTAACAGCTTTTTTTAATCTCTGTATTTTAGCATTTGTTGAAACGCATTATTAAAAACGCAAAACACACCTGATGCGAATTCTTTGCGCTTCATTTTCTATAAGCAGAGTTAACAGACCCTGTTGTATTTTCTTGTAATTTATTAAAAGAAGGCACACCGCCATCTTGTGCCGACTAAACTGACTTGAACGCACCTGACGTCATAATTACGACTTGTCAACTCGTAAGTACGAACGTCCCAGGAGGACTTGAACGCAGCATTAGAATCGATAAGAATCGGAATTGATCAAATTCAAACGATACCCAACCCCATTCATGATCATTATTTTAGGAGTTAAAATAATTTTAGCAATTAAACTTCCCTTTGTCTTTCTGAATAATTACACCTCATACCTACACAGTAGCACCATACTATGCTACATTTTTCCAATACAAATCCACAAAAATCAGAAGTTGAAACTTATGCAGAGCAATATTAATTTAAATCATCTGTGCTCACAGTCATTGCAAAAAAAAGTAAATAAGTGATCCTTTCACCTAAAAAGAGCATAATTCAAATCTCTACCTCTAAGGCATAGTTATCTATTTCTCAATTTCAAGTGCAGCTAAAACTATTTCTAATAGCTTTTTAAAAAACCTGAGCATTTCACACAATTCAAGTAATTCTACATGTTCAAGAAGATGCTGCCTTTTCAAAGCTCATGAAAACAGCATATTCACTCACCTGATGAAATCTATGTAGTGCACAGTAGTGATTAGCAGTTTCCATCAAAAACATCTTAATTTGTGTTCCGAAGACCAACGGAGGTCTTACAGGTTTGGAAGTACTTATAGTTTAGTTGTCCTATAAACTTAAATTGGTCATGTTCTTGTTACGCAGCTAGTTAATGAAATCCAAGTAAAAAAAAATGCTATCATTTTTGCACCTATAGGTGAAAATGTTTTTGATTTGCCATGTTGCATGTTGCATTTAGCTAACAGCTTTTTTTAATCTCTGTATTTTAGCATTTGTTGAAACGCATTATTAAAAACGCAAAACACACCTGATGCGAATTCTTTGCGCTTCATTTTCTATAAGCAGAGTTAACAGACCCTGTTGTATTTTCTTGTAATTTATTAAAAGAAGGCACACCGCCATCTTGTGCCGACTAAACTGACTTGAACGCACCTGACGTCATAATTACGACTTGTCAACTCGTAAGTACGAACGTCCCAGGAGGACTTGAACGCAGCATTAGAATCGATAAGAATCGGAATTGATCAAATTCAAACGATACCCAACCCCATTCATGATCATTATTTTAGGAGTTAAAATAATTTTAGCAATTAAACTTCCCTTTGTCTTTCTGAATAATTACACCTCATACCTACACAGTAGCACCATACTATGCTACATTTTTCCAATACAAATCCACAAAAATCAGAAGTTGAAACTTATGCAGAGCAATATTAATTTAAATCATCTGTGCTCACAGTCATTGCAAAAAAAAGTAAATAAGTGATCCTTTCACCTAAAAAGAGCATAATTCAAATCTCTACCTCTAAGGCATAGTTATCTATTTCTCAATTTCAAGTGCAGCTAAAACTATTTCTAATAGCTTTTTAAAAAACCTGAGCATTTCACACAATTCAAGTAATTCTACATGTTCAAGAAGATGCTGCCTTTTCAAAGCTCATGAAAACAGCATATTCACTCACCTGATGAAATCTATGTAGTGCACAGTAGTGATTAGCAGTTTCCATCAAAAACATCTTAATTTGTGTTCCGAAGACCAACGGAGGTCTTACAGGTTTGGAAGTACTTAATGACAGAAGTTTCATTTTTGGGTGAACTATCTCTTTAACAAACATCTCTACCTGGTATACTTCTATAACCCAGAATAATAAAAGCATTCTCGGACTGACAAGACTATTTTTATCCAGTGTTTCTAGAATGAAGAAAAGAAGTGCTGGAGGAAAATCCCTGGGTGATGTTTCTGGAACTGTTTGGCCAGTCGTCTCTTCTGTTTGACGGACAGGCCGTCACTGTGAGCGATATGATGCATTAACTGCTTCAAACTGTCCAGAGTGGCTTTATCTTTGTTACCCTCATACTGCTGGAGCGACACCCGCTGGCAGAACGTAAACACTGCAAAGGCAAAACAGGAAATGTTCAATCAAATCAATGCGGAAATCAGTTTTATTAGTGAGATTGGAAGCGAACTTACGTGCTACATTATCTAGATCCCTCCCTTGCTGCACGGTTTGTAGTGTCTTCCTCACAGCCTCAATCAATGATAATGGTGTCTAGATATAGGAAAGATAAAGGATTAAATGTTTTAAGAGACAATGTACAACTTTTCCATGACATTCTAATTTATTGAGATGCACCTGTATAAGTAAAACGGTCGTACCTTAAAGAGTTGTGTGTGATTATCCATGAGGAACAGCAGCAGTGGCTCACACTGGACACGAGTCATTTCTTTACTCTGGATCACAGCCTTCACAAACGTCTTGCTAACCAAAGCCCGGTTCTCAATCTGTTTGAACACACATGTAAAGAGCCTGTTCATTTACATCATTCATTTACACATTTTTCCTAAATTCAACCATATGTGACCCTGGTCCACAAAACCAGTCATAAGGGTCAATTTTTCAAAATTGAGATTGATATATCATCTGAAAGCTGAATAAATAAGCTTTCCATTGATGTATGGTTTGATAGGACAATATTTGGCCTAGATACAACTATTTGAAAATCTGAAATCTGAGGGTGCAAAAAAATCCAAATACTGAGAAAATCGCCTTTAAATTTGTCCAAATGAAGTTCTTAGCAATGCACATTACTAATCAAAAATGAAGTTTTGATATATTTATGCTAGGAAATTTACAAAATATCTTCATGGAACATGATCTTTACTTAAAGGTGCAATAGGTGTTTGTCTTCAGAAACATTTTTTGTTATGCTGGTTGAAAGTCTCTTCACATCATGATAGCAATCATTAAGTTAAGTGGTCTAAATGTGTTTATCTGTATTTATATATTCTGTGGAAGGCGTAGTACCAAGAAATGTTCGTCCAATCAAAACGCTCGGTCCGAGTTGCTATGTGTGACTTTTATTATTTGCTAAACAAATAGATGGAAACTTCATTGCAAAATCGAAAGTAGATCATTTCAAGTTTAAATAGCAATGATGTCAATATGGGTGAATCAAGCCCATGTACACTCCATTTTCTGCAATATTGGCCTGTTGTTGCAAATAAATATAGTTGTGCAAAAGTGTGCATAATGAAAGTGATAATAGGATGAAGACTGACAATAGGAATCCATTATAATTGCTTTATGATTATAATATTTCTGCAGTTAACCTGTAAATTGACAGAAATTACAGCTTTATTAAGAAACAGTCAAATTATCATATGATTTTCTCACGCACAACATGTCTTGAAGTATTATTCATTGTTCCTTGAAAATAAAATACAGATCTCCATCAATCTTCATCAGACTGAAAAGAAAACTCAAAGCTCTCAACTACTCTGACATACCTGCAATTTCTGTTAGAAAGTTTAATGTCTGACTTATTTTGAAGAGC